AGCTGCCTCAGTGCCCAAAAGCCAGCCAAGCGCAAGCCACTGCCTTCCCCAGCCCCACACCGGCAGCCGCTGCCCCCTTCTCACCATGGAGGAATTCTTGCCGAGCACCACAAGGCCTCTGAGTGCCAAGCGACGCCTCTCCCTGCACTCGCTCTGCAGTTTGTTTGATGTGATCTCCAGGACGCTGTCACGGTATTCACTCGAGTCCAGGCACTCCAACATCTGAAGGGCACAGGCCGGTGATGGGGCAGCAGCGCACAGGGCTGGGCCCAGGCAGCAGCACAGGGCGTGGGCACCGTCCCGGGCGGCTGCGGCACCGAGAGGGCAGAGAGCTGGGAGACAGCTCAGCGAGACAGCGCTGCCCTTCAGGCTCACCTCCACAAGGAACGCCATGGCGGCCAAATCCCCGTGTGCCGTGTCTTTGCTGAGCAGCCCGAGCAGGTAGAATGCAATCGCAGAACACAAGGGTAGGGACACGTGACGCATTGCTCTGACGGGAGGAAAAAGGAACCAAGACCCTGAGCCAGCGGGACAAACCTCTCCATGGACTGACTCCCAGGAGGAGCTTGGCCCTTCTCCACCACCCTGCAAGGGGACCTGGGGTCCTTTGGGGGCCAAGCTGCCCTTGGGCACCCTCCTCTCCCAGGCTTGTGCAGTGTCCTTGGCCATCCCTTGGTGACAAGGCCCTCTGGCCCCTGACCACGGGGACTGTGTGGGGCACCCCAGGCACGGGGCACAAACGCTGTTTGGGGGCAGCTCACCTGGCCAGCACACCCACAGCACAGTGGTGCGTGCCAGCACACAGCAGCGTGTCCCAGCCACACTCGTCTTCCACTGCCGCCACCACATCCTCATAGTGCAGTCGGCAGAGCAGGGCCTTCAGGGTCTGCACTGCAAACCTGTGTGCACAGCAAAGCCCAGGTGATGCTGGGAGCACGGGCTGCTGCCCTGGGGACATGGCAGGGACAGGAGGACTGGCATGGAGCACCTGTTGGGGCTGATGGCAAGGCCGTGTTGCTGCTGGCATCTCTTCCAGAAAGTATCGACCTTCTCTGGCAGATCCAATGTGCTGAAGAGCACTTGCAAGAGCAGATGCACCAAGAGACGGGGGAAATACACTGTCACTGCATGTGGGACACAGGGCAGCTGGAGCATCTTCCATATCACCACAGTTGCCTGTGAAGGACAGAGCAGCCCGAGTCAGCGCTCAGTGCCCAGGTGTCCATGTGGCAGGGCCCGAGCATGGCAGGGAGAGGCCAGTGGAGATGTAGGGACAGCAGCCGGCCTGGTGGTCCTGGAGCTGCTCCTAGGCCAGGTTGGAGCCCAGTGCCTGAGGCAGGGAGATGCCATGGGAGGAGGGAGGATGGAGACCTGAGGGAGAGGTGACCTTGGGGTGAGCAAAGGTCAGTTGCAGAAACTCACAGCCAGGGCAAGGACAGCCGTGTGGTCCCCGTCGGAGGTGCACATGCTGAGCTCTGGCCAGGTGCCCAGCACATCCAGGAGTATCAGCATGGCTGGCTCTGCAGCCCTGCACGAGCACATGATGCTCTTCCACATGGTGGTAGCAGCTCTGTGGGGACAGAGTTCTGTGTCAGGGGGGTCTGGGACACATCACCATGGCCTGGGCAGCAGCAGGGAGCTGAGCTGGCTGCCAGCCCTGCCTCTGCCCACTGTCCCTCTGTGGCAGCCCAGCCCTGTGGGGACTGGCCCCTGAGGGCAGCAGGCTCGGGGGCTGCTGTGCCAGGGCTGACAAAGGGAGGAGCCACAGGGCCCTGGAATCCTCTGTTTGTCAGACACCTGGGCCAGGCTGTGCAGGGGGATGCCCTGAGCCCTCTGGGCACGTGGGCCCTGTACCTGTCACACCATGGGGCCACACGCAGGAGAGCCATCACCACGTCAGCAGGCTGTGCCTCTGTCAGATCCAGAAGGGGCCTGTACAGATTGTACTCAGGAAACTCATTAGCCTTGAGCCACTGGTGGATGAACCTCACCATGGGGAGCACCTGGAGAAGGCACAGGGAAACTTGGAAAGCTGCCAGCAGGAGTAATGTGCCCAGCTTCCCAGAGAAGTGCTTCCCTTCCCACCGCACTGCCATGGCCTCAAAGGCTCGCAGTGAGCAGCTGGCGTGGCCAAGCAATTCCTGGGAGGATCGAAGCCAGGCCACAGACTGCTTACTTGCTTTGGACTGGAAGG